AGAGAGAGAGAGAGAGAGAGAGAGAGAGAGAGAGAGAGAGAGAGAGAGAAAGGGTCTTTCATTGTTGAGTTCACGACATGTGTTGAGGAAGATCAAATATTACGATGTAAAAATAATCTGCTTTGGCTGGACAATTTTTCTTATATTATTAATAGTACGTGTGTGAACGTTAAAGGCTCGAATGCATTGTAAACACAATCTTTTATGTAGTCACAATAAAAAGTAATGTGAACGGCAAGTCCCGTAACGAAGACAGAATAATTTTCAGGGATGCTTGACTGGGGTACAAATAAGGCATTTTGTGCGTATATTTTCGAGTAACACTTGACAAACGAAATGCGATGTTACCGGTAACAAGTAGCTCAGTTTACCATCCGAATTTTACGCACGGTTGTCGCTTATTTAAAACTCTGAATTTAGGGGCTTAAAAAAGTAGCCAAGTCAACAATACATCCTTTATTGGGGTATTGAAATAATAGACGTATTTCTTCTTCCGGTAGAGAATACATAGTTTGTGCAGAAAGGATAAAATCTCTGGAGACCATCTGAGTTTCCAAAACTTTTGCATCCCCTCCCTCCCAAAAACAAAACTGGAAGACAGTTCAGTATTTTTTTTCACCGGGTGACGTTCGTTTAAGCCAAACATGTTTTTCTGAAAAATTGCATACTATATTTTCGCACGGTTTGTAATCTTTTCTATTTTTCTCTTTTGGCTGTTCTTGTGAAAATGGCTTGACATGTTACTGCATTTTGGCAGCTGAATCCCGATTCACAAAACTCGCATCTGTTTTCTGTTCCTCTGATAACTAAACTTCATCACAAACCGTTGTTTTTGTTTCAGCGCGTAACCCCAAGGTGAATCAGTTGCCAATGGAAAAGAGGCCAATCACGAAAACCAACAATACACACATTCGTTACTGCAAAACATCTCCCGTGGAAGGATTCCTCCTCAAAAAGGGTAAATGTTTTGTTTTTGATTTGGTTTTTTAAAAGTTGGATTAACGCCCTGCTACACACAAGTTGGGTTATTTTCGGAAGCAGATTATGTGTCCCCCCCCCCCCCCCCCTGCGAAAACCTCCCAACAAAACAACAACAACAAACAAACAAACAAAGCAAAACAAAACAAAACAAACAAACAAATGAAGGTATGTAAATAAAAAAAGAAGCATCCACGGGGGAAAGAAAACCGAGCCTCACTTTCACAGGAAAACTGGAACCTACTGTGCCTCTGTGGTCTGGTACCCTTTGGATTTGGTGTGTATTGAAGAGGTTTTTAAAACAGTTTGGAGAACAGAGCTGTTACAAATACCACACGAAATCTGGACTTTACATAACACGTGCTCTTTACTATTAATTTTGTTTTTGTTCAGGAGCTAATGGTTTCGTGTCGTGCTTGAAACCTTTTTTGCACATGGGCTGTGTTAGTTAGATTTTGGACATAATCATCTGTCAGTGAGAAACAGAGGCCACGACGCTGCAATGGTTTTTGGGTGGTCTGGGGTGGAATGAATAGAACCGCCCTCATGAGAATCAAAGGATGGCTTGGTTTCGTGTACTACATCGCGCAAGTGCTAGAACGTCATGTCTTACCCTTATTTGCGTCATGGTGTCATTCAAGTTGACATCTCCTTGCATAGCAAATAAGTTTCTCACAGGGCCAATGTCACTAGATAATTCTTGGAAAACCAAATCAAATCAACGGTGGAGTGGTAACCAGTACATAGCCCCGATGTGAACCCCACAGGAATGTGAAGAGTGAGATACCATGAAACAGCTGATGAAGAAACGCGACTTTGCTCCCAACTCAGACCCCTTGTTTGCAACTCTCTGTGACATTTGGGATGAAATGACAGATAATTATGTCCAAAAAGTTAATAGAGTTGATGCCCAACGGGTTTGTGCATTACACAAAACTAGTGGATCCCAAGCAAAATAATAATGAGCATATTTAAAGTTAAGTCAAAGTTTTTCATGGTATTTGTGATTGGTCTGTTGTTCGTTCTGTGTAAAACTATTGAGGCAAAATATCAAAATAGCATAATGTTCATTGCAATACAAAATTATCCATTCATTGGATAGGCAACGTATGTCCATTCCATTAATATTGTTACTGCTCAATACATACGCAAAGTCAATTTTACGTTTCTTTGATTTCGTACAATCCTGGTTTTTTTTAAAGGTCAATTTTAAGTGACCATATCTCATAACATAAATGAATTATTAATGTATCAGATAATGAAGAATTTATTTTGCTTTAAATATATTGGTATGCTGCATGAGTAGGTAATGAGAGGCTTTAACACGATGATTGGGTGATTACATTTTCAAGTTTCTTTTGGACGCAACGGTATAAAAGAACAACCCCCCCCCCCCCAAACCCACTCATTTGACTGAGACGGTCAACATTTTCAGACCTTTTCAACTGCAGTTACTGCAAGTGTCTGGTTGCATTTAAGTACATTTTTTAAGGTTACAAATGCGCACAATGATCCAGTTGTTACGTCACTTTGAAGTCATTTTAGCATAACACTATAATAACAACAAGTGAAAGAGGCCAGTCGGGTCCCCTTTAATTGAATGGAAAAGCCCGAAAAGAACGTGTTTGACAACAAATTAGATGTGATATAGATACTACATTTATTATTATTGTTGGTAGTTTCTGTAACACACATTTTCCCCAGCAAATAGGACGAAGCAAGCACATTCAATTTCATCTCCAATAATTAATTAGAAAAACCAACGTTCTGTGCCTCAACCCTGCTGCTTTTTATTGCTTTATTGTCCTGTTGGTGTTATTGCCCTATTGGTCTTTATCGATCAATCTCCCAACCAGGTGTTTGTAGGGGAAGCCACTGGACTAATAGGGTCACTGATGCTATCTTTTTACAAACGTACGAGATTTTCTTTTTATGTCACACGTACTCTCTGCCTCCTTCCCTGTCTGTCTGTCTGTCTGTCTGTCTGTCTGTCTGTCTGTCTGTCTGTCTGTCTGTCTCTCTGTCTCTCTGTCTGTGTCTGTCTGTCTGTCTCTCTCTCCCTCTCCCTCTCTCTGTCTCTCTCTCTCCCTCCCCCCCCCTCTCTCTCTCCTTTCTTTCTCACACATACACAATCATTCGCATACTCAACACATACATTTTCTCCCCCTCTCTCTTAAGTTTATTTGTGCATACGCTTGTGTGGGCATTGGTTTGTGAGTATATGCATTGGCATACGGGACAAGAGAGCTATTAAAGGGAGAGAAAGAGAGCGAGAGTGAGAGAAAGGGGGGGGGGGTGAGGGAGAGAGAGGAAACGGAAAGACAGAAAAAGAAGGGAGAGAGAGAGAGAGAGAGAGAGAGAGAGAGAGAGAGAGAGAGAGAGAGAGAGAGAGAGAGAGAGAGAGACAGAGAGAGACAGACAGACAGACAGACAGACAGACAGACAGACAGACAGACAGACAGACAGACAGACAGACAGACAGACAGACAGACAGACAGACAGACAGACAGACAGACAGAAGACAGACATACATGCATACGAACGCACAGGTACGCATTTAGACGGTCAGACCGGTAGACAAAAGGTGGAGAAGCTAAAGCGGAAGATAATATCTATCTATCTATCTATCTATCTATCTATCTATCTATCTATCTATCTATCTATCTATCTATCTATCTATCTATCTATCTGCTGACCAGTCTGTATGCCTGTCAATGTATTTGTCTGCACATCTATTTATCTATTCTAGATCACTATCACGCTGCCAATATTACAAGTGCAAAGTTGCTAAAATCCATGACGCTCCCCCCCCCCACCCTCACCCTCCACCCCACCCCTGTCCCTCTTGTTCACGGAATTCAGGCAAAGTTCAAGACGGAGCTCTCGGATGCCCAGACACCATCAAAGGGATCTTCAACGTGACCTACAAAGGCGTGACACAGCGAAAATGTCCAGACGGAGCTCTCCTCACCACTTGCGAGGCTCCAAAGGCTCTGTCTGTGGTCCACTCGGACTGTGGCGACAATTCGACTACATATCCCGGTAAGTCACCAGCTGATCCTGTTGTACCGAGCGACAATTTCAGAACATACTCCCTCGTGTCAACTCTATATCTATAGTCTTTGATTAGGGTATCTTAGACCTATACCACTGTGAATGCTGGACAATCACTAAAGACAGTGAAAATAAAATAGAAGCTACAGAAATGGGGTTTCTCAGGAGACTGCTAAGAGTATTGTGGAAGAAAAAGAAATAAAATGAGGTAGTGCCTGATGAAGCCCACGTGGGACACTCAATGTTAAAATCAATCAGGAAACGACAAATGCAGTTTTTGGGACACCTGCACAGACATAAGGGTCTTGAACATCTAGCTTTCACTGGCAAAATTGAAGGCAAAAGAAGCAGGGGTAGGCCAAGAACAACATACTTATGGAACCTAAACAGCAGGGCAACAGGGAAAGGTCAGGGAAACGTAGCTTTTTTAGAGCATCCGAGAAAAGGAATAAATGGAGAACCATGATCGCCGATGTCTGTCGCAGATTCTGGCACTAGATGATGATGAGACCGGGAGCTGTCATGGCCGCCGCTCCTTATTCCTATACAAACATCGCCGCTGCACTGATGCTGTCTTAGATCACTCAAACGAAGGGCAAGACCCCCGTCTCTTTTTAAGCGAGTGCACACGTCACCTTTTCGTCCTCGCCCTTTCTTTGGTTAAAAAAAGAGTTATATTATACTGTTCCATCTATCTCTCTTTCTCTCTCTTTCCATATCTCTCCTCTCCCCCCCCCTCTCCTCCTCCCCCCCTCTCTCTCTGTCTCTCTGTCTCTCTGTCTTTCTGTCTCTCTCTCTGTCTCTGTTTCTCTGTCTCTCTTTCTCTCCCCCCCTTTCTCTCTCTCTCTCTCTCTCTATTTCTCCACTCTTCCTTCATTGCATTCTTGAGTACAGACAGTCCACAGTCCACCAAATACTTGCAGATGCACCCACGTGTACATCAGTTACAATATACAGCCACTTGTTACAGAACAAGCATACAAATCTTTCATGGTATTGCATTGGAAAAGAAGAGTGAATTGTCATGTATTCAGCAGTACTGACAGTACTTACTTTTATGGAAAAATATATGCCCACACTTATCAATTTTTCTTATAGTGTGTGTCTATGATCTGTTCTCATGGGTGATTAGCAGGTACTCTGGTTTGGATTGCCCCCTCTTTCCTTACAAACGTCTATCGTTCTGATCTCTCCTCCTTCTCTTTTGTGTTTGTAACTCTCTAGTAACACCTCTTATCTTCGGCACTCATATGAACTGGTTGTGTTGCAAATTCCGAAAAACTCTTACTAACTGAAACAAATTAAACGATATGTTACCACGATAATGTCCGTATTAACGAAGGAACTCCTCACAACAAGCCTTTGTGTGCTTCTACGTTCAAGCACCCGCTTAACTAGTCCAGGATTCATGGGTATAACTAGTTTCTTGAGAGGTATGTATAAAATCGATTTAACGCCTCATTGCAACTCTTTAACTTTAAGGTAATTTAAAAGGCGGGATCTCCGAATTTTAACATTCATCTCCGATACGTCCGAGCCAAAATGGGAACATTTTTGTATAAAAGCCTTCCCAAAGACACAGTGTCGGAGCAAGCCAACCATCGGACCCCCTGAATCAGCATTCTCGTGATTACGAGGCTTGTAGCATAACCACTTGACTGCCGGCGTCACATATGTATGTTTGGTAGTTTAAGTCGGGACGAGGTTTAACAAATAAGAGGGGGGTGGGGGAGGGGGGAGGTAGCCGAAACACATTCCCGAACTTATGGTTAGCTCTAATGGAGCTGTTAGTTTGGAAATAGGATAAAGAAAATGATACTATGGTTTCGATTTCACCAGTGGTTATTCTGACTGTATTTTCTTATTGTTCTACTTCCGCCCTATAGTTTCATTTTTGACGCTATATTAAAGACAAACGTCTCTGTTTATGCTTCGTTTTGAAATTTTGTTTTAAATACACTTTAGAACATACACCTGAGTTAGACCTTCAGATGCCTTTTGCGACTTTGTTAAGACTAAATTATAGCAATGACGAAATACGGTTCCGTTGCTAGTGACACATTTGTCAACGTCACAAACAAACATTGTGTAAAATGACTGGCCTGTTCATTGTGCCCCCAAACAGAACTTCTACAGAGCAGACCTGCTATTAAAAAAACTGTTTATCACAAATTAGCTTCTCTGAACCTGGTCCCTTCCTCACGAATATTATGTTTCTGATCTTTTTATTGTCTGGCAGAATCTGACGACTTTATCTGTATCGGTGGCGGACTCTACGAAGTAACGCTGTTCCGCAACTCCACTGAGCTGAACCCATTCACGCCGTTTTCTTGCATGGTGCGTATAAAGGGACTGCATACGTACATTTGTTCTCATCATAAATTAATTAATCTTATCTTTAAGAGTTGAACAAGATTTACTTTCATGGGGATATTGGTACACTCTATCATTATTTCAGAAACACTTTTCGAATACTACTGACTTTAACAAAAAGTAACACACACATATCAAATTAAACATTATCAGTCAATTGGTCTTTCCATAATATATACTGACCGCATTACTAGCTCAGTTGGCAGCATGCTGACCTTTGACTTGATTAGTTTAAACGCACACATGAACAATCTGGCATCGTTTCACATAACGTGTGGGGTGCGGTATTACCTTTGTGAATCGTTCCTCTCCCCTTTCCTTCCCTTCTCTCTTCTTTATTCGTTCTACGACGTCAGGTGTTGTATTTATGTGTGAAAGAAAACCTATTCGTTTCTTATAAGGCTACGGACAAAATTAAAGACCAGTATGTAATTCTCTTGTTCTTGCCTTACTCCATATAAGCGCTGCGTTTGACACCATACATCTTAAGTCTTGATAAGGAGGTTTTATTAAGGAATGAGAATAACTTTTTTTACAGATAAAGTGAAAAATCTAGGGGTTTATTTGGACTGTAAACTATCATTATATAAACCTTCTGTGTAAAGTAATTTATTTTGAACTTAGCAGAATAGGACAAATGTCATTGTATCTTAAGATCGTTTCTATTAAAACCCTCATCTCATCTTCTATGTTTTCATGACTAGACTACTGCTCTGTTCTCTTTTTTTTGGAAACCTACCCACTCAAACTATAAACAGGTTAAAAAGCGACCTCAGTACTAAGATACTCGCATAATTCTGAAGAACCTTGTCAAGGAGCACGTAACACTACCAATATTAATCAGGTAGCACTTGCATTCTCTGAAAGCACGTTTTTAGTATAACAACAAAATGGTTGTTCTTTATTTAAGTCCGTCGACATTGCACTATCGTATTATTATCTTTGCAACATGGTCATCAAATGCATTCCATCTCGGGCTTTAAGATCGGTAAAAAGAAAAGAATAGCCTATAAAAACCTGTCACAGTCTCAGAAGGAGAACTTTTTCGCTCCACGACCCCTGCCTATGGAACTTATTCTAGCATAACTACGGGAAGCGACCGGTTTACCGAAATTCAGATCTGTGTCAAATATGCATTTTTGTTTCCGGCCAGCTTTAATAATCATTAGTAATAGCTGACATTCGCAATACCCATATTATGTTTCTTTCAATTATAGATTTTTAGTTCATGCCGTTCTGCATCAAATGTCTGTAGTCTATATTGTAGTCGACATATACGCGCACACGCTCTCATATGTGTATGTGTGTGTTTGTGTGAGTGTGTGTTCGTACACGTGTGTGTGTTTGTGTGTGTGTGCGTGTGTGTGTGTGTGTGTGTGTGTGTGTGTGTGAATGTGTGTGTGTGTGTGTGTGTGTGTGTGTGTGTGTGCGAGAGAGAGACAGAGAGACAGAGAGAGAGACAGAGAAAAGAGAGAGAGAAGAGAGAGAGAGAGAGAGAGAGAGAGAGAGAGAGAGAGAGAGAGAGAGAGAGAGATAGAGAGAAGGAGAGAGAGAAAGAGAGAGAGGGGTCGCTATTAGATACCTATTAGATCCTATTATTATTATGAGAGAGAGAGAGATAGAGAGAGATAGAGAGAAGGAGAGAGAGAAAGAGAGAGAGGGGTCGCTATTAGATACCTATCAGATCCTATTATTATTATTATTATTATTATTATTATTATTATTATTATTATCATTATTACTATATGATCATTATCATTCTTGTTATTCTTATTATTATCATTGTTATTATATTATTATGGTTGTTGTTGTTACTTATCCTCTCTTTCACTTGTCCACAGACTCTCTCTGTGGATGAAAACGACAACGCTACAGTTGAGGTCACACAGAAGGGAGACGGTTGTGGAGAGAAGTGGGTAAAACCTGAAGGGAATGTGCACGCGGAAGAGTTTACTTTGGTCAAGACGGGTGTGTACAATAATGATGATATGATATTTTTTTTTATCATGCATGGTCTTAAGGAGGGGGGGGGGGTACACCCCCAAAGTCCCGATTCGGCTAAAAATTATGGAATTTGAGTTGTAGGCATTTTTAGCTTTCTCAGCCTCTCCTACAACTATTTCATAGCATAAGAACCCCCCCAAAATGGCATTTTCCACCATACCGGGCTTGTTTGGCACCACCATTTTCTCATAAAGCCGAATTTTTTTTTATAGGCCGTTTCCTTAAAACGCGACTTTTCTCTATACTTTTTAAAATAACTCCACCATTGTTTGTTGAATCTTCATGAACTTTTCACAGAATGAAGAAAAGATGTAATACGAAAAATTTGTCTGTTGAACTTTTGATATATGGAATAGATTTTTGTTGGTGGTGTCTGGAGTGTGAATTTTCACGGATTTTTGTAAACTTGAATGCTACCTCAGGAAAATATTCATTAAAAATTTTGTAATTCGTTTAGGAAAAAAAACAACATACAAATTATTATACCTAATGTTGGTTAACGTGCATGCAAAAAACCCCCAATCAATTTCCAATAGCAATAAGTGCGGTATTCATTATGTAAGACATGTCAACAAAATCCAATGTGGCCGCCGTATCCATGGAAAATATTTTTTTCTCTCAATTTTGATTGCAGATTTTAAGACTCCTTACTATGCTTGTTATATGTGTGAAATTCGGTAAAATTTGGTCCAGTAATAAGCGAGACAGCCTTCAGGTGTAGCCCCCCCTCCCCCCCTTAAGACGAGTATCCTTAAACATATGCGGGAGTATAAAAAACTAGCTGGGCCCCCTTTCAATGAAAGGGACGATCGGTACATTAACATCAACTGAAAGTTATTGGCCTACTACCTCGACCTTTGCGAGCGCGAGGGGTTCCAACTGCAGAACGTCGTTCTCTTTTCGGCATGATCAGGCGCTATCTAGATATAGATCTAGATCTAGATTCTAATCTAAGACATGTTGACGTTGTTCCCAGTAGCAAGAAAAAGAATTTGACAAAGGAGTCCAGAAAAAGCGATGATGGGCATCAAACGAAAGGATCACAGTCGAATTTAGCACCAAAACATGAGGCTAGATCTATGCGGGTCGCACATTCAAAATAGTTCTCAGTATTGCGCGACAATGCGCGATAGTATCGAACGGAAGTACGACTTGAAATAAACAAACTTGGTGGATTTTCTAAAATTACAGAGACAGAAGCGTCGGCCTACAAAAGCGATCGGCGAAATAAAGAAATTGTAGTTTTTTGCAGCAAAACTGTCTCAAAACTGAAAAAAACCGAAGGGCGTCATGATCAGGAGAATATTTTAAAAAATCTTTTGGCGAAAACCGCATGTCGATCGATGTAGCCATCAAAAAGCCTTTTGGATAGCAAAATTCGGCCACTACAAATAGATAATAGAAGACTCATTGACTTGAGTGATGTTTATTTCAACATTGCTGGCTTTGATCAAGTGATGTGCGACTTTTTTATTGTATCAAAAGCCTTCGTTTCTTCTCAGACAATCTGCTGCAACGAGGTGCGGGACATCATGGCTTGAATACCCGGTGGGGGATTCTTAATAATAAGTTTTAAAGTTTTTTTCCAGACTCTCTGCAACCTATTATCACCCCTTTCCCAAATGGTCGTCCAGTCTCCAGGATAATATTAATGTGTTGATAGGGGAGTCAGAATCTATGTCATTATTGAACTTATTAATAAGGCACTCCTACCTCTTCCGTCACATGTTGAACACCCGAACTACAGGTACCAAAGGCTGTAGGCAATAACACATGTTAGGCTGTAAGTAAAGTAAGTGTATGGGTTTAACGCCCCTATCAATATTGTCAGGTTATTTGAGGCAGGTAATGTCCGTCTCCGATAGGACCGAGCCGCAATCACCCTTGTTAAATGTAAGGGTATCGAAACAACCTGTCTTGGAATATAAAGAAACAGCAATATATGTCTATCTTGGAAAATAAAGATTCCATTTAATGTTATTAAAACTTTTTCTTCTAGATGACTGCTTGCCGGACGAGGTCATCCCCCCGGAAGTGGTAGACATCTTTGAGCCCAACTCCACGAGGACAGACGACACGCCCTCTGATTCCAACGAGACATCTTCTGGCAACGAGACGTCAGGAGGCCAGGGATCCGGTACCGAACCTGGCGGAGACCCTGACGGTCAGCTGAAGTGTTGTCCATTACCTTGGTGTATTTAAACAAAGAAAATGAAAGAACTGTAGTCTGTGGTGTACCGGTCAGGCACTATGCTGTCGCCAGCGAAAGACCTGTGTTCGATTTCTGACTGTGTGGGATCTTTCTTGAAGGGATGTTAATTGTGTCTCGCTCAGCCCGGGTTGGTCCTGGCAGGCAAGGTCGAAGACCACCTCCTAAATTACTATCTAAATTGTGTCGATGGGGGAGTTAAAACACTGACAGTAGAAAACGATGCAAATATTACAGCTCAACTATATGCCATGCAGGACTCAAATATATCTTCCTAAAGTATTGTGGGGTTTATGTGGGTTTTATATGTCTGTGTGTGGGGTGGGGGGTGTAATGGGGCAATCTGCTGTAAGAGAAAAAAGAGAACGTCTGTTGACAGGTCGAAAAGAAAGAGAGCTGGGCAGGTGATGTACCAATAAGGACACACGATGCAAATCAGCACCAGATAAGACATTTTTGAGGGAACTGATCACTCTTTCCTTCTATCAACCTCTACCCCCAACCTACTCCCGCCCCCCCAAAAAAAGCAAAGACGAAATTATTTTTTTAAGGTGTCGGGGGGGGGGGCAGGGACTTCACACTATATACCCACCCCAACATGCTTAGGGTATTAAAAAAAAAAAAAAAAAAACAGCCAAAAAAAACCCAACTTCAATAACAAAGACAAGTCTGCTCAAAGTGCCTTCTTCAAGTTTCTAATCGTAAGAAGAACATCAATGCTACTTTGGGTACCGCGGCTACATCCCCTCCCCCACCAATCCACCCCGCACCAAAGTCTTCACCTAGAAATTATTATTATTATTATCGTTAAAATATTGTCATCTTCGGCGACATTTCTCAGAGCAGCTTGTTTTCCAAGCTAGAATACTAGGGAGGCACAACTTATTCACTGAAAAGGCGAACCTGATAAAAGAAAGAAGTCATAACTCGTAGATTCTATCCAAGATCAATTTTCTAAACAATACTAAGGTGTCTTAAATCGTCACGATACCACACACATATCGGGCTATTATGCTCATACTCCCAACCGGAATTCCCAAGGAATGCCCAGGACACGGCCTTGTGGCTTTTTAAAGACTATAGGCTCGGAGTGCTCTTATTAAATTAGCAAATCATGAGATTGTTTCTTGGTTAAAACCTTCATAGCAGCACGGGACATAATTCCTGATACTTTAATTCCCCTGTTGAATCTGGAACTTGAATATGTCAAGTGATGTTAATTATTAGCCATAGCTCCTTTCAGGACGAGTGATCTCTTGAGTGTGCTCAGAGCAAATTAAATGAAGCTTTTTATAACACTTCCTGATAAAAAAAGGCGCCTACTTTTAAAGTTAACGTTTTGTCCTCCGTTGCTTTATAATGCTCCCTTCTCACGAGCTTTGCCTATCAAGTATCAATCACTATATTATTATTCTCTTTGAGACAATCTGCAATTTTTTATGCTGTTGTGATAAATATCACTGACGTAAACGTGATTACATTTTTATTTTGCTTTTGTCTTTTCAGATGCTGGCAGCTTTCTGGTGAGTTGTTCTAAATAATAGCTTTTATTATACTAACTCGCACTCTGCCCTCTGCCCTACCCCTCCCCCTTCCCTGCCTTCACGCTTTCGGCAACTTAGATTTATCTGTATACCAAACTGTACCCATGTCTGTACGTGCGGACTCTTTTAATGTTTCGGTTAAAAGTTTAAAAAATGATACAATGGAAATTAAAAAGCGTTATTGAGTATTTAACGAAAGCGATCATCATCATCATCATCATCATCATCATCATCATCATCATCATCATCATCATCATCATCATCATCATCATCATCATCAACAACGTTTTGCCCGGTAAAGGGCTTCATCAGGAACATGATACAAAAAATGTAAGATCCAATGACTACAAGCTATAGCAGCAAAAGTGCGCGCGTCTGCGTCATAATGCCAAAATGTGCGAAAAAATAAATCGGGAAGGCTAGAGAAAATTGAAAGCTATAGCAAGAATCATCATCATCATCATCATAATGATGGATGATAATGAAGATGATGTTGATCATCATCAAAATGAAGAGCTCAGCCCATGTTGCCGAAGATGTAGCCATGAAAAGGAGGATGTCAAACATATGTTAGAATGTCCATGAACAATGGCAATTCGAATGGGGTTATTTGGACGAGTTGAGGTGCTGCTAAGCATATTGACAATGGAGCTCTCGCTCGAAGATTTCTTTGTGGAGTCCACCAGGCCCGTTAAGGAAACAAAACAAAAATCATCATCATTATCATCATCATCATCATCATCATCATCATCATCATCATCATCATCATCATCATCGTTGTCGTCGTCGTCGTGCCTGTCGTCGAAAAGTATTTTAAGAGTGGGGAGAATTGGGTACTATATAATGGTTTCATTGGTAATTATGAAATAGAACAACGTTTGGAGAAAGAGATTTTATCAGTTGGGAATGTAAATGAGACTGGATGGTGCATTTCAATACGATAGGTAAAGGAAAGTAAACATAAACAGACAAGAAAACTGGGAAACAATGAAAGAAAGTTGATAGGGTAAGGTACTACGTTACTCCATATTTGGACTCTCTCTCTCTCTCTCTCTCTCTCTCTCTCTCTCTCTCTCTCTCTCTCTCTCTCTCTCTCTCTCTCTCTCTCTCTCTCTCTCTCTCTCTCTCTCTCTCTCTCTCTCTCTCTCTCTCTCTCTCTCTGTCTGTATGTGTGTGTATGTGTTCGCGTGGCTGTGTATGGGGGGGGGGGGGGGGGGGGGATGGTTTTACGAGAAAAAGGGGGTGAAGGTAGCTGAGAAGGTTACCTTTAAATAGTAAACCAAAGATCTTTGAAATGAGGCTCATCATAAATTGATAAGTCCAAGTGAGTCCCTGAAATACCCTGAAAGTGCCTGCCACCATTATCAACGTCGTAACAATGCACTTCCAGTTCTTACGTGACGACAGAAACCAGTTAGAATCGAAATTGTCCAAGATGGTAACTCATAGTCGGAGAAAAAAGTGGTCGTCTTAGACAGATGGTCGTCTCGGACGGTGTCATTATATTATTCAGGAAATGTAGAGGAGGGGGGGGGGGGGAAGTGGGCAGTGGTCGTTTATAAAGGTGATTGTCCTGGACCGGTGAAAGAGCTGGTTCGTCTTTAACAATTTAGAAGCTACAACTGCAATTCAAAAGCAGGAACAAAAAAAAAAGACAACTCACAATTAATACACTTGTCATCCAGCACTTTAGGTAACATTCTCCTTAAGGAAACCGTTATGGAGTTTGCGTGGTAACCTATCTATCTATCTATCTATTCGCCCATCTAAAAAAGTAAAGTTGTTCCCGCATCCAGTCCGGACATTGGGGATTGCTTGTTGGTGAGACAACTTCCTGGGCCTTCGACATATTGTGGTAGGGTGAACAGTTCCTTTCCACGCCGCCTTCACTTCCCCAACTAGAAGTCAGGTACCCATTGCTGTTAGGTGGGCAGGAGGGGGCGAAAATAAATCCATGTCCGAACTGAGGCTCGAACCCGGAATTTCTGCTTCGGATACGAGCGCACTAACCGCTCCGCTCCGTCACCACACCCTCATCCGCCCATCTACTGCAAAAAAAAAAATCTATTCGCAAATTCGACCCACTCATCATCTCATCTATGTATGTATGTATGTATGTATGTATGTATGTATGTATGTATGTATGTATGTATGTATGTATGTATGTATGTATGTATGTATGTATGTATGTATCTATCTGTCTATCTATCTATCTATCTATCTATCTATCCATCTATCTATCTATCCAGGCATCCATCTATCTACCTATCCATCCATCTATCTATCTATCTATCTATCTATCTATCTATCTATCTATCTATCTATCTATCTATCTATCTATCTATCTATCTATCTATCTATCTATCTATCTATCTATCTATCCATCCACCCTCCCACGTACATATAGATCTATCTATCTATCTATCTATCTATCTATCTATCTATCTATCTATCTATCTATCTATCTATCTATCTATCTATCTATCTATCTATCTATCTACACCTGAACTCATTCTTATCCAATAGGTGTCCAACGGCTTTGTGGTGACGTTTCTGGTGGCCAGCCTGGCTATCCTGCTGTCACAACACAACGACCTGGCCTAGTGACCCCTCAGATGACCTATGCTCGCCCAGTACCGCGAAGTGCCGTCACCTAGACGTGTTCTTATCTCGTCTATTGTTTAAACGTTATTCGTTGTTATACTAATCATTGTTGTTACAGCATCATGCTATTATCATAGCTATTATTGTTATTGTTGCTGTTATTATTATTATTATTATTATTATTATTATTATTATTATTATTATTATTATTATTATTAATTTTTTTTTTTATTATTGTGTGTTTTTGTTTGGTTTGGTTTTTGTTTGTTGTGGGTTTTATGTGGTGAAGAAGATACGGTAAAACTGTCTAGAACAAACGCAAATTCAGGTTTACATTTACAGTTTATGTGCATCCATCATGAATGTTTTTGGTAATGCCAAGAAACAAGTATATTTTATTCTGATTGTAAGTCACAATAATGTTATGTGTTCTCGTCTCTTTCCACATCTGTGATTTATAATAACGCATTGTATATTTTTATGGGATAGTTTAATCCCTGATTGCTCTGTCCTCTATGAACTTCTTTTTCGAACCGAAGTGACTCTCCTGGCTGAGCTTGTTTTCTATATTATTGATGTTATCAATTCAGCTGCCCCTGTGCTGTGCTCTTCACTCATGTGCTGTGATGTTGGAGGATGAGGCCTTTCTAGCGTGTTCTTTTCTGGTGTAAGAAGAGTTGGAGAAAACGCGTCGAAGTTTTTGTGGACCAGTGGAAAAGAGAGCAGACAGCGGACGGTTTTCAGTCCTGATGCAGTACAACAGCATCGATAGATTTTGTGGTTTCACTCGGTTTAGAAGTTCGTAGGAGCACACAATGTGTTCGTAAGCAAAACAATTGTAGAAAGGTAATTTAATCCAGGGTATTTTTTAAAATATATTAATAGCACTGACTTCTTCGCAAACTAATCTATTAAAATACTTTAACAAAACGTAAAGCGAATTATTTTGCTCCATATATCTGAACCCAGAAAACAAAGTGCGTAGATATAAACTTCAAAGTGATCCATGTACTTTTTTTTTCTCCAGATAGCAGTAAAATACAGTCTTGCACAATTTCACACCAGAAAGTTAAAAGATTCACACTCCTCTTGCTTCTGACGGGAAATACTACCCAGAGGTCTCTGAACTGCCGGTTCCAGTCAGTAATCTGTCTCCACCTGTCTGCCTCCTTGCAAGTTTGCCAGTCATTGGGATATCCTCTTTTCCTCTCCTCTGTCTTTCAGCCTAGTTTGCTGGGCATCCATGTATCTGTTAATGGGAGAACACACAGCTTTAACGTTTCTCTATTTTAACCTTACAGGTCACAGTTACAGAATTACATTCAGACTAATTATATGACCTTTTCTTGCCTAACACCCTTTCTTGCTATTGTCTTCGTTAACAAAATTTAATGCTCTCTTGTTATCAGTTCTTTTATTACCATAATTATATCTTGCTTAATGTCTTCACTTTTCCTGTTTCTTTTCTTAACATAAAAAGCCACTTTCTGAGTTAATAAGTCCGCTATATATATATTAAAAACATTCTATTTTCTTTACTTACACATTTGACTGCAATCTCTTAAAGATATAATGAACAAACACAATTTCTAATAACATAAACTGAACCAGTTTGAGTTCTTCTATTCCAAGCAATCCAACGTGGTTTTTAGGCCGTCGCCAAGCCGTGCTCCAGTAAAAATTATATCTTTCATGAATACATTATATGCTAACGCGCCCAGTCTAAGCCTTAAACAAATCGCTTTAAAGGGTAGGGACGTAGAGAGCGCCGACCAGTCAATGTGGACCCTTGGAACAGTAGACCTATATTTGGTTAAACATGTCTCTACGATTGATTGTGGTTAGGCTCATAGCTGTGCACACAGAAAGCTGGGGTGGGGGGAAACAATTTTACTGCTTATGTATATCAGTCTGCAGCGATGTATCCCTACCAAAGAGGTTATGTATAATACTAAAGCTCGGAGCAATGACGTCACACATGTCAGACATGGAGGCCTTCTCACCCTCATTGGCATGGCCGGCGTGCCCCCATTTACACGAACAATCGAAGCCCCCACCTCGCTATACACGAGCTCTAGTATATTGATTAAATCCCCCCCCCCCCCATATTATAGTACATGCTTGTAGATTTCCTCCTAAGACTGCCGAGACGCCTCCACGTGAGTCTCGAAAAGTACTCACCCATCTGTTGAATTGCGCATGTTCTACGTCCAGAGTAGGTACACGCAGCCCCCATCCGTTTAGATAGGGGCATCACTGCCACGAACTCTAGTACTACATATAACCTCTTTGGTCCCCACACAGCCACGATTGACCTAGGCATGATTGGACCAAGTATCCCGTGCTGTAAGAAATCGACATTGTATCTGTAGGGCGTAAACTATCAGCAATGAATTTACAGCTTATAATTTCTTTATCCAGAAAAAAAGGCAAATCAAAGTCGGAGGTAACATTGCATGTCGTTGCACACACATTTAAGACATGCTAAATAAAGTTTCAGCAGAGAAAGGGTTTTCTTAAACCTGGGTTTTTATCTGATCATTTCGGAAATCTTAGAACTAGAACCTGTATAATACAAAGAGAAACTGAGAATAGAAAAGGGATGGACGTTCGAACAAGGTGCTGTAATAATTATGTAGGTGATGAAAACAGAAATTTCTTCTATCCTGTGAGGCAGTTATATCTTAGTCTGGAACAGGGTCTTGTATAGGTCTTATAACATCAGGCAACAGATACTATTATACTTTGATTGATTAAATGCCGTGCTTATAGAAGTAATGAAAACAGAGAAAAACTCCCAGCAGTGTTCCAGTCACGATGTTTTCATTCTGTAACAATATCACCAATCTTTCCATGTCTGTATCTCATGTTTTAAGATTAATGTATTCTTGAAATTGAAATTTTTATTGTTGTCAATGCAATTAACTGTATATTCATTCTTGTATAATTCCAGATGCAACAGAATTTATATATCAACTATTTTCTTTATTAGTAACTGGTGGCGGTATATTATTTAATCTTCACCCTCTTTATTATGTGCTATTCTGTATTGTTCTTATAATTTCATGATTGAATTGAAGATCTCACGAACGATTAGATTCTCCTGTGATGTTGGTGTTGATAAACAAATATAAATAGTAAAAGAGGATGACAATTTCTAATCAGAATTACTAGGTCTACACTGACATTTGAATGATACTTTTTCTTTGATGTTGTTACACAATGCTGATGGCGTACATTGTTCTTATTACTTTATTTTAACGCGATGTTCAAACTGCTATGCTCCATTTTGTCAATACTATTTCTTATCATTACAATAATATGTTCAATATTATGATTTTAGATACTTGACTGACTATTGGAAAACCCAGGGCTTCGATCATTCCAGAAATTATGATGTTACATTCAAGTGTGTCTTTTCTCTATTTTCTACAACGCTTATCAAATGTAGTATCTAAGAGGAAAATGATTGGGAAGCGGAAATTGTTTGCTGTTTACACAATAATATTCTTGTAGTTGTAGATTTAAAGTGCCCATTTTGGCATTATGGGAAAGTCTGGTGCTTGTATAAACCAATAGGAAATAAAGGTGGATGAAAAGAAACATAACTATTTGGTTTATGAATTTTAGCCTTTAAATAGTATCATTTTGAGAAAGGCTCTCGAACTTACCAATGATACGACAACGAAGAGGAACAACTACATTACCTTTTGAGTACATGGCTTCATTGCTTTGATTATTTCCCTTAAAATGACCCCGTGCGATCAGTACAGTTGAATTATTGAAGACCACGGGATAAAAAAAATAATCACTTAAACAATAAATGTTAGTCTTTCTCCTTGTCAATCTACTAGATAATATCTGTCAATATGCAGCAACAACAGAAAACAGAAAAAATAAAGAAATAATTCCTCGCAACACTACAGGCTTTTCTACTGGAAAAAATCATTTTTTTACCTTTGCAAAATATACAGTGAAAGCATACAGATAAATTTCGATTATCCTTTCATTTTTCAGGAATCTCTGAAAACAAAAGCACTTTTATACACAGACACGTGATATATACACTTTAATTCAATACCGTATAGTGAGTACACGCACATTATACTCACAAATGCACACACACACACACACACACACACACACACACACACACACACACAAACACACAGACACAGACACATACACACACATACATACACCCACACTCGCACACAGACACAGACACATACACACACATTCACGTCTTTGGTTTCTCAGATGAGCACTAGTTCTATCAAAGGCTTCTACAACCTCTGTCGTCTCTTTTCTTCATCTGTCCTCTACTGTTGTCTTCTGTCTGTCTGTCTGTCTGTCTGTCTGTCTGTCTGTCTGTCTGTCTGTCTGTCTGTCTGTCTGTCTGTCTGTCTGTCTGTCTGTCTTCTTCTTCTTCTTCTTCTTCTTCTTCTTCTTCTTCTTCTTCTTCTTCTTCTTCTTCTTCTTCTTCTTCTTCTTCTTCTTCTTCTTCTGTCTGTCTGTCTGTCTGTCTGTCTGTCGTTCTCGTTCTTCTTCTTTTTCTTCTTTTTCCAACCGAAGGCACTTGGCTGGAGGACGATAAAAATCCTCGTATTTGGGATGAATTTGCAGAAGATAAGAGTCACGTTGTGGGTGACGATCAACATATCGGTAGACACTTATCACCTAATCAAATGGAACGTGCAAAACTTTCGCATTTCTTTTTATCAATTTCTTATACATTCTTGACAAGAGTAATCTCCCATTTAACGAAATTACAATCAATGACAAGATCCAGGGATTCAGACAACTGAGTGAGCAGATAATGATTAAAAACCATTCTGAAGGCTGTCTCATTGGTGCTTCATCTAAGCTCTGCAATGGTATTGGAACCTCTTCATAAGCGAAGTTTATTCTGACAATGATTACTCTAACAAGTATTTTAGAAAGTAAAGAGATCGTGAAAGTTTAAAAAGAGGTGAGTTTACAGTCTTGTATCCAGTGTGCTTTTAGGCGTTAACTTCGTTAAGCCTTACATCATGGATCTCCGAGATGCCTCCGCCTAGGACAGTCTGTCACGTAGACTGAGAACTCTTCGTTTGTAATAATTTTGACTCTTTGTATAATGGGTGATTTGTATTTTAAGG